CCTTGGAAGTATAATAATTTTGCTTGTGTGCTGACAACTAATATTTATAAATTTACTTGGCAAATATTATTATATTTATTATTGTGTCTAAGACCTGGTGTGCATGAGTCCATGTGCATGTCTGCGACGATGTTAGTGTGTGTGTACATCCGTGTGTGTGTATCAGTCGGTGTGTATGTATCAGTCGGTGTGTGTGCGAGTCGATGTGTTTGTTCATGAGTTGATATGTCTGTGTGTTGGTCTATGTGTGTGCGTGGTGTGTGTGTGTACACAACTAATATTTAACTATTAGGTTACTACATTTTAAAATTAGAATGTGTGTGTGTCTAAGTCCATGTGTGCGCGTGAGCCCATTAGTGTGTGTGTCAGTTGATATGTGTGTGTGTCAGTCGATGTGTGTGTGTTAAGTCAATGTGTGCGTGGTCTGTGTGTGTAGACAACTAATTTTTTTAAAATTTTGTTCGTACATTTTCAAATATTTATGTCTGTCGAAGTCCATGTGTGTGTGTGAGTCGATGTGCGTGTCTGCGTCGATGTGTGTGCAAGTCGAAGTGTGTGTGTGAGGGTCAATGTGTGTGTGTGAGAGTCGATGTGTGTGTGTGTGTGTCAGTCGATGTGTGTGTGGCTCCATGTGAGTGTGTAAGTCCATTTCTTTGTGTGTGTGTAGGTGCATGTGTGTGTGTCTTAGACGATATGTGTGTGTGTAAGTCCATCTGTGTGTGTAGGTCGATGTGTGTGAGTCTATGTATGTGTGTGTGAGTCGATGTGTGTGTGTGAGTCGATGTGTGTGAGTCGCTGTATGTGTGTACACCAATATGTGTGTGTAACTCCATGTGTGTGTATCTAAAGTCGATGTCTGTGTGTGAGTCCATATGTGTGTGTGTGTGTAAATTGATGTGTTTGTGTGTGTGGGTCAATGTCTGTAAGTGTGTGTAAGTCGATGTGTGTGTCTGTCTTTTTCGCCTGGGCAACGCCAGGTACTTCCCGCTCGTCCTTCTTACCTATAAAAGGCATTCTTCGTCTGTCTGTCTCTGTGTGACAATTTTCGGAAACCTTTTATATCAACTATTTACCCCCCACTTTCTATCACTTTTTGGACCTCTGCAAGCCTCTTAGAATTTTGTTGGTGGAGAAATGGACAAACGGCCCACCGGGCTTTCACAATAGCTTAGTACCTGTGTATGTATATGTAAGGTTTTTAAGAGACGTTTTGAAATGTATTTTTCGCCCGGGCAACGTCGGGTACTTCCCGCTAGTCTTCTTACCTATAAACGTCATTTTTAGTCTGTCTCTGTGTCTGTGTGTGGACGCACACTTGCTAAGGATTTGGCTCGAAAACCGTGGGGTTTACGTAAAAAAAAATAGCAGCCAGGTACCACGCCGTAAGCCCCGTGGTGGGCAAGGGCCATTCCTTTTTCCCATCCGTCAACATTAAATTAGTTTAATTAGCGATATAGTGGGATGTTTCTTAATTATTTACTTTAGCCGCTTGGCACAGGACAAAGCACGCATTGCTATGTACGTGAGTTTAGGGAACGAAGCAAGAGATTAGTACTTAACATTGCCGTGGTGAGGCCTAGTCCCGTGCAGAGCCTGCGGCCTCACCTAGATTGCCCAGCCAGCCGAGGTGGCACCTTGCAGCCTGGGGGCTTGGCTGCAACCCCCGCCCGCGCTACAATAATACTATCTAAGCGCTATAATATTAATATCTACGGACTCTATAGTAGTAACTGCACGCATTGGGATGGGGGGGTGGGGGGGAGAAGAGGACATCACACAAGTTTAAACCACCTCTACGGGGAAAATGTACGTTTTTTTCTCTCTGTGTTGTCTCTCTCTACTTGTGTCTGTCTTTGTGTCTCTGTGTCTGTCTTGTGTCTCTCTCAAAATGACACACTTAACTTCTAATTTAGCAATCTTTGGAAGAACATAATCAACCAGGCTATGCGTTAATTGTGTGTTGACCGACTGTGTTGCATTGCATTACAAATATTACTAAGTTTGTTTTATTGAGTTTGTTTTCTCTCTCTCTGTATTGTCTCTAGTAATTCTTGCAGTCACAAAAGCTCCAAATCTCTCATTGACATGCTAATTTCTCTAACTCCCCCCCCCCCCCTCTCTCTGCCCCCCTCTCTCTCTATTTAAGGGCTCGACACAGTGGCGTTGTTTCTCTGTTCCTATGTGTGTCTCTCTCTGTGTCTGTTGTCTCTCTCTGCTTATATGTCCATCTCTGTGTCTCCGTTTCAGTGTTTTGTCTCTCTCTCTCAAATTTAGCACTCTTTGGAAGAACATAATCAACCAGGTCGGGTGTTGACTGTTATGTTAGCCAACTATGTTGTATTACATTATATTTCTGAGTTTTCGAGGTTCGTTTTTCTCATTCATTCGTACCTGATGATGAATGCTTGTGTTGCAATCGAAACGTCGTTGTCTATTATCTAATTTATTTTCTTTCTACGTGACTTTACCAAAAGAACCAAAACGTAATTCCTGCAGTCACGAAAGCTCCAAATCAAGTTTAAACTACTATAGTCATTAGATACTCCTGTAGAGCCAGTATTTACTACTATAAAGTCGGAAGATACTACTATAGAGTGAGCAGATACTACTATAGTCTGCAGATACTACTTTCAAGTCGGTAGATACTACTGTAGGGTCAATAGATACTTCTATGCAGTCAATATATACTACTGTAGAGCCAGATATTACTATATAGAGTCACTAGATACCCCTCACTCTGTTGTATGTAGGGTGTGTAGGTATATATGCCTACGGGGGGGGGGGGGGGATATTTTGAGGGGGGGGGGGTCGACAATTTTTGGAAACCATTTACCGTATTTTCCCACATGTAGCCCGCATACGCATATAACCCGCAGACACATATACCCCGCAAAAATAGCGTTTGGTGCAAACAAATTTCAGATAGCCCGCACCTCCATATACCTCGCATGCATTCATAGATTTAACGTCGTTACCGCAGCTGAATTCCATCATATTAATACGAAGTTTACATTTGTAATACATTCCACTATCAATTGTTAACATTAAAATCATAACGTGCACAAAGAAAACTAAACTAACCATAAACGAGTCAACTTAAAAAATAATTCACAAAAGTAAATATCCAATAAATAACTAATTACAGTTTTAGCACTGGTAGATTGCGCACTGCGCAGATAATAGCGGCACTACGGTAACGCCGTTGCCCCTCCCCCCAGCCCACTTCAAACAGTCGTTTTATTGTACAATTGGAATAATTTAAAACGTGATAACGTGCAATTTTAGTGTGAGTGGTTTATTCAGCAGTGCTTTAGTCAAAGGTAAGTGTTGCATAGTGGATAGTCTTACCATGAAAAAAAATAAACGAGTTATGACATGTCACACGTGTAAAATATTTTTGGGATAGCCCACACCTCCATATACCCCGCAGGGTCGTTTTGTTTGTAAAAAGTGGTATACCCTGCAGGTTATATGCGGGAAATACGGTACATCAACTATTTACCCACCACTTTCTATTACTTTTGGATTCAGGATTTCAAGCCTCTTATAATTTTGTTGAACAAATGGAACACCGGGCTTTCACAATAGCTTAGTACTTGTGTATGTATATGTTATGTTAAGAGAAGTTTTGAAATATATTTTTCACCCGGGGCAACGCCGGGTACTTCCCGCTAGTGCACTATAAAAGTTGCAACTGAACATAGAAAAAAGTCAAATTATTTAAGCACTGCATTATAACCACTGGTCAAATGCCAAATTATACATTTGAATTTCAATATTTAAAAGACGCAAGCACAATAATTTCAAATCCAATTTGCAGTGTAACCAAGCTGATGTACTAAAATTGATTCACTTTACACAATTCATGCCCGATCCATTAAATTCTGGCTAACGGCCTCCCAAAGCTGTCACCATTTCATGGTCCTACGATGCGAGTTGATCTGGCACCTTGCAAACGAGACAATTTAACTGCTCAATATTTCACGGGAAATGACCTCTTGGGCATGCCAATCAGGCAATCTTCCATTCTAATATTACGTCCAAAAAGAACACTTTTATAAAATCGCCAATAGGATGGCCTTCAACTTGAACATGTTCCGAAATCCATGTGTTCCATTGTCGGTGTAATTCAAAGCACGCATCTTATTGCTGTTCAGCATTGTCTAGTTATTTTTTTTGTTAACATGTTTAGGACTCATTGCACTAAGTAATAAACACCAATTAATACGTTTTATCTAAATACATGCAAGTTATTCTTTATTATAAACGTCAGCTTTCCAAAAAGCACTCCAACCCGCTCAGCCACTTTATTTCAAAATCCAGCTCACTTCAATAGCCATCAACTTGCAATAATAAACTAGGCTATTTTGCAAATGTATCTTTAGGCCAAATGTGCCGCCTTCGTCGTTAGGTTATTTTAGTTTTCCTGTAGTTTATTACCATTGGTAATCATGTATGGTATGTTAAAATTATTTCACACCGTACGTAGCCAAGTGCCAAATCGGCACGTCATCAGAAAATGAGATTAATGGTTGATATTAAATTGTAATTGTATATTAAACATTCATAAAAAAATCTCCAAAATTAGAACCATCGCATTAAGTACCAAAATACATATTTGGAATGAGTCTTGTAAAGAGACATGCTTTCGCCAAAGTTATTATAGCAACAGGAAAACGTTCTAAATACAGTATCAGTAATGTCAAACATAACATCCGTAAAGTAACATTCCCCAGGAGACCCACAATAAAAACCAAAACAATCCTGTCCTCTGCTCTAAAAAATAAACGTGTCTATAAATGCAAAATCACACCACAATTACTTGAGCTTAAACATTTCTCTCCTGAACAAATATAGAAAAGTACACATTTACTGTAATTAAAAAAAATACATTCTTCCAAAATATCCCTGCACCAGAAGCATTGGTTAAAGTTGTGTTTATTATGCACCCAACTTAAAGATGCGGACTACGTGTTACAAATTACACTTTGACCAGGAAAATTATGCAATTGGAATATTTATTCAAAACCACACAAGGCATATACTGTAATACTGTTTGTTATAGAACATTAATTTTACCTTCTAAATGAAGGCAGAAACATTCAAGACTCCAATTTATGTAGGTGAAAGGCAGCTTTATGTGCAACATGGCTAAACATCACAACAGAAAATTACCCTTTAACATAATTTTTCCAAGTTACTCTCAAGTGACCGACTTGCATACGTTGAATGCCTAGTGCTTCACATACGAACCCAAAAAGTGCCACAACACTCACGCGAGTGAAAACTCTACTGCTACATAAATTGGAGTCAAATAGATTTAGAACTATACAGTACAACCCCAGAAAAATATATCATATACAGAGAAAGGCATTTGTGATCAAAACAGTCATCAATTATCAGCACTCATTGGGAATGTTGTGCTCAAATCATGCACACACATGCCCTAGTATAAACACTTTTAGCAGGTACAATGCTGAATGGCTTGCAGGAAATACAAAGACATTTTATGACTGAAGGTCCAAATCGTAAAGTAAATGTCTCTCAATGTTACACAAATTCAAGACAAGTTAATCTCTTACAGATACTTCAAGTGCTGGGTGTGTGCATAGGCATTTTGATTTAATAAAACCTCGGTTAAACACGTAGGCTTTCGCGACTAATATCATCCATAGAAGTGTATTGGGTTAGACCGTGTAAATATTTAAAACCTGTTAACCGTTGACAAGAAAGCTTTTGTAGGCTAAAAGTCATGCACCAATGACGACTGCTAGTAAATATTGCTATTCAGGCAATCTCCAAAGAGTTCAAAGGGCTATAGTTCTCCCACAATAATATATGCTCATGACTTCAGTTTGAGCCACCCAAGATAACTTGAACAGGTAGTTCCTTAGATGTGGTAGGGCTGCAAGTCAGGCTTAGATGGATCTATGTATAGGCATCTTCAAGTGAAGAGGAATATGAGCCATTACAAAAATATATCAATTCATAATTGTCCCAAGGGGATTACCCGATTTTTTCAATGCCCAATAAAAATGTTATAATTATGGCTGAACATTTTGAGAGGCTGAGCATATGTGCCATCAGAGAAGCCAGCAGTGAAAGAATATTTATGACATTGCAGTGGGCAAATCTCAAGAAAGCGACACCCATTGCACCTGTCTGTCGCTATCCTTCATCAGCAGTTTGACATTTTCAATACAAGCCTCTCTTATTCCATAGCCAAGAGAACACAAAATACAACTTCATTCAGCCAGACTATATGGGTTGCAAACTAGGGGCCAAGAGTGATGGAATGAGGAATTATGAACGGCCACTCAGACATTCGTGCTGGAGTCTTGCATTTCCCGTGTGACCACACTCCCTCTCTTTGGAATACCTGGAAAAAAGAAATGTTGTAATCAAATAATTATCAAGTCAAATTGCACTGTCATAGTACTGTACGTATTATTTACACACACAAACCTGTGTCTTAAGAGGCTTTTACCTCATAAGAAAGCTACCCATCTTAAACATCTGCTTGTGTTGAAGACTGCAAGTTCACATCCTGGTTAGGGTGTTTATTTGGTCATCCATCTTTATTGGGTCTAATTAGTGCCACCGTGGGAAGTCAACAGTGGTTGTCCAGTTTATTGACGGTCTTTGCCATTAAGTTGGTAGTGGAAGTATGCAATATACAAAGTTGATAAAAAACAAAACATGTTGTAAAAAGTTAGTGCAAGTCATTACAACAGCTTAACTACCAAATTTACCCACATGCTGCATGTATTTTAAATCCTGATGCTTTTCAGAGAAGGTTCTAACTTGTGTATTTCTAGGCTAATTGAAATGAGAAACAAGTGTATTTAAAAAAAACTTCCAATCAGTTGATATAACTTCACAAATCATTATTCACAATTAAAACCCCTCCTAAATGCACCACACCTGTATGCCAACTGTGCCACAAGAGACACTAGCTAATACAACTCAGTTTATACATTATTCGTTATAACCTGCAAACCATGCAAGGAGTGCGAGTCTAAGATAATGTGGGTAAGAGGAAGCTAGGTGTTAAAAAGGCAAGTAAAAAAATTACTTTCCATTATATGTAAACTCTGCTGTGGTGAATATCTTTCAAAAATGTTTCAATAAATAATTTGGAATCCCAAGTCTTCTCCCGTCTACTGTCAGCCTTTTAACATTCTTAAGCTGAATTACATTATCATATAAGCCTTTTTGGCTGGGCTGCACTATTTCGTATATTATAATAGGGCTTGTGTCCTGTTATTAAGACAAATGACAAACAATGGTCATTTCAAATTTACCCAGGACTATTTGTTCGTGGCTTATTTGCTAAAAAATAATTATTTAAAATTTATAACATGGGATGATTGTACAACTGTTTATTATTAACCACTTTACTTCACCTCATATAATTTTGCTTTAAACGATTACAGCTAAGTACAGTAAAACCTTGGATTGCGAGTAACTTGGTCTGCGAGTGTTTTGCAAGATGAGCAAAATGTTTTAATAAATATTAATTTGATAAACGAGCGAGGGTCTTGCAATACGAGTAGTACGCGTACGCTTTGTCTGCCAAGCATCACGTGATCGCAACTGATATACGAGTGCTTTGATACACGAGTGATTTGGATTACAAACACGTTTCCGGAACCAATTATGCTCGGATTCCAAGGTTTGACTGTACTTTAAGACTTTAAAAAGCCTATAATTAATAGGTGGCACAATTTTACTTTATGCAACAAGTGGGCAAAATAGTTCATCCTATAAATGAGCATCAACTAATTGTATTAACATTTACTTCAGACAATTGTGAATAATAGAGCAAACGTCCTATAAAAGGAAGTAATATAAACACTGGACAAAAAAACAAACACCACAACAACCCACAGGCTCAAAGATAAAATGTGCAAACATGCATTTTGTTCTGTTTATGCTCCCAAGTGCACAACACCAAAGCACAAAACCCCAGGTGCAAATCACACACACGCGTGCTTCAAGTGCTCCCAACTCCACCAACTGGATCTTCCATGCGGTGGGTAGTGTGACGGGGGAGGGAGAGCACGGCACACAGCTCAGCGGGCAGGTGCTCGCTCGCCCTACCTGCGCTGGAGGGAGGCGGCGGTACGGGAGCAGTGGCACACGGATGTGTTAGGACCACAGCGCGTTTATACCTGCAGGTGTGAGCACCAAGGCCTGCAGAATGTCGGAAAGGGACACGATGCCCGTCACCACCTCCTTTTCATCCAGTACCACCAGTCGGTGCACCTGTAGGCAAGCCAACGAAGAGAGGCTGCATCAAACTTCCCTCAGGTGGCCGCGTCTGTCATGGTCCTAAAATAGCCAACATTCGTTTCAGGACTTTCATACACGATTTTATTCAGTTTAAAACTCTTCACAGCAATTCATATTCTTAGCTCTTTCGGTAAAGTCACGTTGAATGGAAACAATAAAATAATTAAATATATACAAAAAAACATTCTCACGACGTTTCGACATAACACAAACGGTCGTCATCAGGTGTTACGGTCGAAACGTCGTGAGAATTTTTATTGTTTTATATATATTATTATTTTATTGTTTCCCTTCAACGTGACTTTACCGAAAGAGCTAAGAATATGAATTACTGCAGTCACGAAAGCTTTACATCAAAATTCTTCACAGCAAGTCGCAATAGCATCTGTCAGAGCAACCCTGTGCGAAAACATCAAAAGAGATGGCGGTGTAGCAAGCCTGCTCAACCATCGACACTTATTGGATGTCCCCTCACGTGCAAGCGTTTATACATGTACTCCCAATTTAATCCCGCGCAGAAAACATTGATCAACTCTTTAAGCATCCCCAACAAGACGAGGCAAGGCTTTCCTGAATAAAATAAAAGACCATGCCAGCCATTAGTCAACGGCCAACATCTGTAGTGGAGTGGTATCTGAGAAATGGTCCTGAGCACCCCCCCCCTCCCACCCCCCCAATCACCAACCAGCACTGGCCAGCATAATTACGTCTGACAAAAGCAAAGTCAATCCATGACCAACAGGACATATGGGAGAGGCAGTCAGGTGTGAGAGCCAAAGAGCCATCCGAGCGCCACACCTCGGCTTTGACGATGCGGTCGATGATGGTCTCCAGGCTCTCATGGCGGAAGCAGCGGATTACGCCCTCGAAGTACTGAGAGCGGTGGCTCAGCGCCTGTGTCACCGTGATGTCCAGGTTGTTGTAGGTCTTCTCCGCTGCCATATTCTTTCATGAACCGACAGAAGACCAACACCAATTATATTAGGCCTAGGCTATGTGCGCTGTCGCTACATAGCCAACACGATGACCAGAAAATGCCAATATGTTATATACTTCAATGGAAACGCCTTTTCATTCTGGGATTGCAATGCCTCGAGAAAATGCAGGTAAATGTGTTTATATTGGGTATTACCTTGTTTGAGGAATATAAAAAAAATACGTTTATTCACTCACTGCAAGTATCAGTCCAATTAACTCTCCAAATGTAATACACTTGTACACTTTGGTAAAGATTTTAAACATTAATTTTAACAAAGTTGACAACACCAGGCCCCACATTTATGTTGATGGAATTTGCCGACGGGAATTGATTTTTTATGACAAAATGACCACATCAAAAACAATGACAATTTGACTGCTCACAAAAAAATAGTAAGAAGTATATTTTTGCAAGTGAAATTTTTTTTCAGGCACTAGCTCTAACTAATTTAGAGTATCTACCATATATCTTATTTGGTGGCATCTTTAATTGAACACATAGGAAGGCAAAACTCACAATGACGTCAAACTTCGAGTAGACATCAACAACTTTTCCTATGAAAACAACAGAAATGCACACACATCACCAACTTGACAGACATCAAGAACTCAGTGTCATTTCACTCCGATATTTGCCTCTGCACCGCTGCCCACATAGGGACTTGCACAGTTTGCGGTTCAGTTGAATAACGAGTTCAGTTTTAGGCTCTTTGGATGCTTCTTTTTTTATTGAAAACCCCTTTGGGTCACAGCAAAATAAAAAAGACGCCCTCAATCATGAGTGTGAGAGCCCAGGAAACAGCACAACATGTAATGAAGGTCTGAATTCTGTGCCAACAATATACCTGTAACAACTGCACAATCGGCAGGTCAAGCTCCAAAAATGCTGCATTTGGTAACCGCATGCTAATTTTCATTCACTTCAAACATTCGATAACACTAATAATTAAAACCAAAAGTTTAGTCTTATTTAATGCTTGGAAATCAATTGCAATGATAACGAATGAGTCATGTAGTAGGACGCAATGAAAGTGGAGGGAAATTTAGTGGGGGTTTCAATTTCGCAACATTTACCATATGATAACACTACATTAAAACAGCAGTGATTTAAACACATCAAATTGCTATTCGAGGGACAAGAATATGAACATGGATCAAAGGAAGTGGCCTGACAGACAGCAGCGCGGGAGTTGTGGGACGTCAAAAGGTAACGCCATACGGTACGAAAGCACCAGGGAAGTAACCTGGAGGGCATTGCTAAACTAAAGCAGTTAAACTCTTAAGAGTTCAACTTTCATCACCAATGGATAAACCAGCCGTTTAAAAAAACCATTCCAGAGAATTAGACGAATGAAGCCAAGTGGTCCCCCACTACATATTTTTTTTCTCAGCACATTGATGTGGAATATGAAGAGAGTTCGATTCAAGGAAAATAACCAAATTAAACATTTTTGCATGCCCCATTCAGTTGCAGAGACAGAGTAATGCAGCAAATGCACAAATGCATAAACTCACATGCCTATGCAAGCACAATACAGCTTAAGGGTGCAATGCCACCTCCTGTCTGACTTCGAACATATTAAGTTGTATGTGGGAAATGGCATGCCATTTTACCCAAGAAAACGGCATTAAATCAATACTCAACGAGGAAGGTTCTGCTTTCAGTCTGGAAGGAAACCAACTGGCAGAAACTCCCCCCCCCCTCCCTGACATGCACAAGAGAACTGAAAGCTCACAGTGAGCCCTCATCAACCAGCTTGTTCTTTTTTGCGCGCACACACCTTGCTCGGCTGTCCCACGCATACAATCTCTGTGGACTCAACAAAGCGCTGTGGGGGTCAGTGGATTGCCGAGGGGTGTGAACGTACCATCTTCATCCACAACGGGGAGAGCAGACACCCTGCGTTCCACAAATATGCCGAGGGCCTTGATGATGGGCGTGCTGGGGCTCACCACCGCGATGTCTTTATACGTGCCGATACCCAACTCCTGCAGGCTCTGACTCATGAAGCTCGGTTTAGGCATCTCCGGTGCCTGCCAGCCCAGGCACAGCATGTAAACAGTCAGCCAAGGCAATGCAGGCACGACCACGACAAATGAGGCATAGCCAAAGTCTGGCAAATAAATGCAGAGTAAGTGCTGTCATTCCTTCAGAAACCAACCAGCGATGAGTATGCACAACTGCAGCTGGACAATAGCAAACCAGTTAATAGCCAAGAAAAAGTTAAGAACTAGCAGTGAACATTTATCTTTCAACTGCGTACAAACATTAAATCAAGGACCACATTCACACACTAGACGAAATTACATAGGCATGTATATTCACTCCAATTTCACACAACCCCATGCAAGATGTTCACCTTTCACAAGTTAAATACGGAGTCAACTAAATGATGATACATACCGTATTGTATGTACATAAAACATCGAGCAAGTTCCACATTTGTGTGTGCTCAATCTCACTTGTAAAAACAAGTCTTGTCGGCCCGGAGCAATGCTAATGTTTGATATACTGAACTATCATTGGCCAACAAAACAGATTGTGCAGACGTCAGGAAAGATCCGAGCCCATAAGGCACACTACACAAAACCAGGAGCCATAACAGAGCCAAATAACATACAATCACGAGCGCTAGAGAACACTGCACAGAATTGCTGAACTCTCGGATAAACCAGACAGGAAAACAAAGTATGGGGGACATATGCTTGGTTCTTTCAGTAAAGTCACGTATAAGGGAAACAATAAAATAATAAAAGCAGACCTAAAACACGGCAGGACCAACACCTCGGCCGTGGCAGATCACTGTTATAATTCAGAAGGCTCACATGACATTGACTTCTCCAAGACAGAGGTTCTCTTTGCAAGCCATCTGGCTACCATGAGAGATTCGTTCATGAGGCTATCCACATATCCAAACACAGAGACAATTTCAACCGAGAAGATGGATTCTGGCTTAGCAATCATTGGAAGGATTTGATAAGCCATTTCGGGTCTTAATTGATTGTTCACGCTTACGGTGGCTTTCAGACCGCATCCATTATTTTCGTCTCCCCCCTCCTCTTTTCCATAGATGGACTCGTCCATCTGAATAACTGCCAAAACGCTCTCCGTGGTGCTAACGTTTAAAAAAACCGCCACTTCAAATTTTCTTGCTGTGGTTTTTCACACCTGATGATGATTGCTTGTGTTGCAGTCGAAACGTCGTGATAATTTTATTATTTTATATTTTTATTATTTTATTGTTTCCCTTCTACGTGACTTTACCGAAAGAACCAAGAATATGAATCCCTGCAGTCACGAAAGCTTTAAATCAAAATTTATGGGGGACATGTCAATTTACTAAATATGCCCATCAACCTTGCAGAATACAAATTCATCGAGCACACAAGCCAAGTTAATGGGAAACCGAGAGATGTAAATCCTTAAGCACGAAGATCAAATGGGTAACCTGTTGGGAATATAAACGCGATGTAATTACTGGCCAAGTAGTGCACTGGAAACAAATCAATATCCCTACCACCCCACCCGAGAGCCCACAAAGCACAGTGGGGTAACTCACAAAGAGCTGCAGGAACTTGAGGATACGCTTGTGAGTCAAGATGTACAGTGCATTCCCCGCCACGCTGTCCAGCACAGGCAGTCGGTGAATCTTGTTCTTTATGAGCGAGTATACCGCGTCAAAGACACTGCAAGGGACCAGCAAACCATGACACAATGCAGTGGTGAACGGTGACTGCTGTTCACGTGTGTGGATGTTTGCCTTCGTGTTAACATGATTAAAGAGAACAATGGTGTAATGGTTCACGTACTATGCTATAATCCTAGTGACCAGGGTTCAAGTATTGATTATTCGTAATGGAATTTCATCTGAACGTCACTAGAATAAGGACATGTTGTGGTGCAATTAAACATTCATAATGGGCAAATAAAGAGGACCTAGCATGGTGTAGGCCACACCACCATCTTGATTACTATATCAGCCTCAAATTGTTGCTTGTTAACAGCATTCATCCCATATTTAAGACTAACATGAATTTTGGACTTGGTACATGGTTACCAAGAGTTTAAGAGGATTCAATCTACTTCACTGTAATTATAAGATGTCTTAATGACAGTAATAAATTGCGAACATCCATTCAAGCCGTCACAACTGAAACTTTTTAATTGGGATACCGGTGTTGGTGCTGATTACCGCAACTTCTGGATTATGCCAGAACTATTCCTCTTGGCCAAGAGGGGCTCAAAATACATGGTTGTGGACGACTACAGGTTGTAGGACCCAGTCGTCAGAGAAACTTAATGGAAATACCTTGCATTCGGAGATATAGATACCAAAGGTTTGAATGAGTCTTGAAGGTAAACTTCTGTGAAATCAAACACAAAGGAGGCATGTTGTACCAGTGTTCAAAACACTAAATATGCATAGCTGTCAAGGTTTAAAGTACAAGGACAGTCAATAAAGAACTCTGCGAGGTACCCTATTTACTTTTCTACAATTTGAGATAACTTAAACTGTACATATCCTGAAAAGATTAACATAAAATTTTCACATGGGAAAAAAATAATCTATAATGGATCATTGAGCATTACAACATTTGAAAATATTAAGCATGACATGTGCTTAATTTCCAAAATCAGCCTACATGTACTGGGTTTCCAAAGCCCTCCATTCATAGCAGAATGGCCACGGATAATGTTTAGTTATAAAAGTGTTGGTTAGTGACAGTAAAGGAGTATTTCTAGCCAGTTTTTCCACATCACTGCCAACAGTGCCCAGGAAACTATTCAAGTTTAGAAACATGGCACGGCATACAACGGCTTAAAAGGGTCGATGCGCAGTCTTTTCACAGTGCAAGGTTCCCCTTTTGGTAGTGTCTGTCACAGATTACCTCTCCATGTTGAGATCCTGTGTTCCTCCAGTTCGTAAATTTGCACCTGCAAATGGGAAGAGTGTCACTACTCCTTAGCATCCCTACAATCAGATCAGGTTAATCCAAGGGCTGTACACAACCCAATAACCAGGAACAGTGTGACTTTCACAATGCCGAATATAACTGGCACCATTCACTGCCCTAGTAAAGTAAACAAAAAGTTTCTCCTTGCAAAAAACGTGGGATGGTTCTCATCTGCATTGCAAGATCCAGGCCAGTGGTGGAATTTACAAATTATTATGGCAGCAACTAATGTACCCAAAGAATAAGCAGTTTTAACTTCTCACAAAGGAGGTCATTAGAATTGTCCCTCACGAGGACAACCATTGTTTTATTAACGGTTGTGTAACGGCACTGTCCTGCAGCAGTGTTTTACCATCGGAGACTTGTAGTATTGATGAAGAATGTTAATGAAGTCTGTAATTGTCAGCATTCCTGTGAAAATAAAAAAGGCTAACATGAGTTAAAACACAGGGCATCTAACCCAAGCTCTCAACAGAACAGCAGGGTATGTCAGACTGAATTATATTTCAACTTGGAAACATGCTTTCACCCAAACCGATCAGAAAAACGGTATTGCATGCCATTACGATTTCTTTAGAAACATTTGATTCGTCTTATAAAACACACTACTGTCAGGTCTCGAGAACAGTGCAAAACAAAGCTGGAGGACACAATAGATGAAATTAACTTGATAAAATTAGTGTCGTGGAACAAATAATCTTCATTGAATGCATGGTCAATTGTAGGTCACTTGAGTTAGACAGAGGAGAAGTCATGTGCACATGTACCACTTTGATACACAATATCCCATGTTTCGAATCCTCATCAGCTATGATTAATCCACTGCCAGATGAAGGCCTTGCCAACTCGTCGTCATGCCTCTCCATAATACTTCTTCGCTCCTGCCCATTAATCATCTCAGTGCCCCATTTCTATGGTGGTCGTCCTCTCGGGCAGGTGCCCTCAATTGGTATGCCAATCGACAAGTTTCATCCACTGGCCACCATCAAATTCGTTTGTTGCAGTGCGAGGAAACAGGTGGATGCATTTCTTACCCACAAAGCATTGCATCTTGTTGTCCCAGAGAGGTGCTGCCCTCACTCCATTGGAGACGAGGGCGAAGAAAGCCCTCTTCACCTGCAACATACGTCACCACGTCAGCATAACGCAGCGCGCGCACACGCCAATACCAGATGCTTGTGCACTCGTACACACTAGACGAATAATGATCCATCAATTAACCCATTTATTTTTTATTCTGTTAAAATTATACAAAGAGTAAACACAGATGTTTCGGATAAAATTAAGAGAATAGGAGATGCATTAGATGCACTCAGATGATGGAACAAGGGGATGCATTCAGCAGCAGTGACAGGAGGCACAAGCAATATGAGACACACATGACACAGAAAGAGAGGAGAGTGGCACTGCGCCACGTGCGGTAGTTTGCGTCAATGGGACCTGCAAGGAGATGTCAAAGACGACGAGTTTGGAGCTGGTGGGAATGATGTCGTAGCACTTGCGCGACTTCATGAACCTCACGTAAACAGTGTCTGGGGAACCCTCTACAAAAACACAAAGCCAGCGACATTCACAGACCCACACGCGCGCACACACACGTTACCATACGATGCAAGCAAGATGAAAATGATAAAAGATGATAATAATTCAGGAGTATAGTAACTGCACGTCCAGACTAATATACATAAATTATAGATCTGGCTGAGAACATCTGGGCCTAAAGAAGGGGAGCAACAAAAGGTCGCTCTCAAGCAGAGCCAGGGGGAGGAATGAGAACAGAGACTTTTGGCTCAATTTGGGGCCATCAGAATCAACTGTGGTTTTCATCTCCATTTAAAATCTCCCACAAATTCCTGAAGACACCACTGTAGAGCCGTCCATTCGCAAGCTTGGCGATGGATCACCTCGATCGAGGAATCGTCGCAGTGGGGGGCGGGGGGGAATCTACATGTATCCTTCTCTTGAGAGTTACATTTAATATCAATAAATGATGTACAGCAGAGGTTGACAGATGTGCACAAGCAGCCCAATCTGCAGAAGTCAATGCGATTATTCCGCCGATTGACAGGAGATGAATGCTAGTTACACATCACTACAAACTAAAATCCAAACGGCTAAATAGGGAAGACCTCATACCACATTCCAAAATAAGAATCAAGGGGGTGTGTTCTGCTCGGAGAACGGTGGTGCAGTGGTTAAACAGGCTGCACTACGAATCCAGCGAAGAATTCGATTCCCGCTCCTGCGCAATGCCAGTGACGATTATCTGAAACAGTCCTGGGCCTAACATAGGTCGACTCTGCCTCAAATGAGTTCAAGGCGCAGTGTGTAAACATCACCACTAGGCAGACAAAGGGGTGCCGGGCATTCATTGGTACGCGAAGGGCACTTGCCCAAAAAGTTTGTTGAGGCTAATGGGAGATCTTTGTCTTGTCTTTCTTCCGTTGTGCTGGGTGTTATGTGAACAAGCGACCACATTAAGGCTTAGTGACAGATTGTCAGGCAAGTGTCCACTACCAACACTCGAAAAAAAGATTGAACACTTTTATATTTCACTCATAAACACAATTTGGTGATAATTTCGGGATGCTACAATTCTCTCCAATGTAAACATTTCTATAATAACAAGTATGACGTTGATAATACTTTTTCCCCCCTTTTTTTCTGGCAACAAAACAGGTGTTAAGAAGAAATCATGTCTGCATTAACCACAATGCTTGTGGTCAGAATGCAAACAAAAAACTCTGATAATATATGCATTGTCCTTGAAGCTGATTGGTCCACACCAGAGACGGTTTTATTTTGAGCCTCGTCTCAAACGGTGTTAAACCAGAGGACGCCAAAAGGTGTACAGCCCAAAGACAATGCACTATTCCTTGTAAAAGGTTTAAGTTTGGTGTTTTAACATCTTAACACCTGTTTTGTTGCCAGAAAGGGGAAAACCTATTCTCATATTTTGGTACTGGCAAAGGAGGTCCCATGATGTAGATGCTCACCCCGAGCTCTCACTACTCTGATAGTGGCATTGTCTTTGGGCTGTACGCCTTTTGGCGTCCTCTGGTCTAACACCGTTTGAGACGAGGCTCAAAAGAAAGCCATCTCTGGTGTGGACCAGTTTCAGACAATACATATATTATCAGAGTGTTTTTTGTTTGCATTCTGACCACAAGCATTGTGGTTAATGCAGACATGATTCCTTGTAAAAGGAATCAGTTTGGTGATTTAACATCTTAACACCTGTTTTTTTGCCAGAAAAAAGGGGAAAAAACCATTATCATATTTTGGTACAGGCAAAGGAGGTCCCATGAAATATGACGTTAGCTCACGCCTACATGTTTTCTAGCTCAATGCTTTTCTCATCAGTTAAAAATGTGTGTTGGCTTGTAAGATGTAACCAAGTGGCCCGATGGGATAAACGTGCATTAAAGCTGGCTTACGTGACAGCTTTTTTTAGGGCAAGAGCTTTTTTGTCCTTGGGGGAACCTTTTAACTGCCGTCAGACATCAGGCCACTTACTCCCGATGTACAGATGCCAGCCACACTCACTCCTTAAATCATGCCCAGAAAAGGGAAAATAAAATGGGCGTGGGTGTGTGCGATTGATCTGCCTCAATGAGCTGATTGTGCCCAATGCATGGCAATCACAGATGAGCGAGCACACAGTAAAAAAATAACACCCCTGCCGAATAAAGTGTGCATTCGATAATCATAAGGCACAAAACGAATGCCGATGTTTAAATTTCGATGTGCTGATGCTGTGGAATTTTTACTCCATAATTTTTTTTTATCTGAGAAATTCATGAAATGTCATCTGGTTGATTACAAACCAATATATACCACCATCAGGGCAATAAACCTTTTCAGAAAGTTAGTCAAAGTAAACTTTTTTTTTATATAAACACGACTAGCAATTTAGATAAATACTCAAATCTGCAGTAAGATTAAAATGTTATGACGAGTAACCAAGATAAAATTAACACTGCAGATTTGAATTTTTTTTTTCATCCTCCAGTGAAGTGGCAGGCTAATAATATCCATAAGAGGTTTTTTGGGTTGTATCGCGAAAAATGTCACTAAAACCCGCCACCACCTGACAGCCAACTAGTAAGGGTTGTCACGTAAACAGAACATGGCAATTCGTCACTAGTACAGCACACCGGTGTGTTGAAGAGCAAAGCCACAACATTTCCAATGTGAGTACGATGTTTCTCCAGTAATTACAATTAGCTTCATCAGGCGACAGCCAGATTTGTGGAGAAGTCTAACTGTTTCGTTCCTTATATAGAGGCATAGATGTGGTGACAACACTTCTGCGCCACGTGGGGGGGGGGGATTACAGAGGCAACGTACATTATGCATGTGCATTATGCGAGCCCTTTGATCTTGTCCTTCCTGTCTATTTGTTTGTATTAAAATAGCCTACCAACGGTAATCCCAATTGAAGTATGTTGCCCTTTGTAGGCATGCATTTAAAAATGTATTATTTGATGATTCGCTTCCACACAGCACTAAGGCAGCAGCTATCCGTACGGTTAAAGTTATTTTGATTTATTTCAATTTCGATAGATTATCTAATTATTCTTGGCCAGTAGTAGCTAGTTTTGCACAAAACTTCAACATTATCAAAATTACCTGTTTCCTCACACTGGCATGCGTGTTCTGCTACTGCTGACAGTTGTAATTGGGATAATTTTACCCTACATTGCAGGGGTCACTAAAAAGATCTCCAAAATCCTGAATAAACACAAGATCCAGGTCCGATTCAACACAGTACATAAAAATTCGTGATTTAGTTCCATCTGTAAAAGATGCTGTTCCAGACATACAGTACCCGGGCGTTTACAAACTAAAGTCCCTCTGTGGTAGTAGCTACATTAGAGAAACCAAAAGACATATCTCGGACCGCATCCGCGAACATAAAGCAGACTTGAAACACGGTAGGACGAACTCCTCTGCCGTGGCAGATCACTGTTATAATTCAGTGGGCTCACATGACATTGACTTCTCCAAGACGGAGGTTCTTTGCAAACCAACCGGCTACCTTGAGAGATTCGTTCATGAGGCCATTCACATATACAAGCACAGAGACAATTTCAACCGAGAAGATGGATTCTGGCTTATTAACCACTGGAAAGATGTTTTAAATCATTTCTGTTCTTAATTAATTGTATTTTTACGATGACCTTCAGACTGCAGCTCCTTCGCCAGCATTGACTCTTAATACCTCTCACACCACGGTTAATGGTATGGTTTGTCAACATGGAGCATAATAGCGCCTCGCAGCTGTCTCTCTCCCCCTCCCCTGTTCCGACCATGGACGAACTCGTCCGTCTGAACGGGGCCCGTAGCTATCCGTGGTGCTAAAGTTGAGGGTAAGAATCCACCCATTTTTTCGCCATATAGCATTGTGATATATAACGACTTATTGTTGGTAGCTTAGCTGATTGGAGAATATAGAGTTTATTGATAACATTAAGGTAATTTATATTTTAGTTTTTATTGGTTCACTATATAGTACTGTGAATAGCTCAGATGTGTAGGCCTTGACTTCAACATAGTCATTTCTGTGACCAGTCACTAGCTAATCACTCAGTTATTTCAATGCTAAATTCGCCTAGTTATTTCAATGCTAAATTCTCCTGTTTGATTTGTACTAAGTGCCTCGGTGAATGTGTATGCTCTGACTTTAACGTAGCTATTTCTGTGAGCAGTTACAAGCTAATCACTCAGCTATTTCAATGCTAAATTCTATGCTAATTCCATTGTCAAGGGGTGCCTCTGCGGATGTGTATGCTTTAACTTAGCTATTTCAATGCTAAATTCTATGCTAATTCCTTTAACAAGGGGTGCCTCTGCAGATGTGTATGCTTTAACTTTTAACATAGCTATTTCTGTGACCAGTCACAAGCTAATCATTCAGCCATTTCAATGCTAAATTATATGCTAATTCCTTTGTCAAGGCACTTTGTTCCTCTCACACAGCTTAAAGGCCGTGATCTGAACGTGGCTCTTTCACTCCAGCGCTGTCCTACCAGACAGTCTCGTCCCTTCACCTGATGAAGGCCGCTTGTGTTGTGGCCGAAACGTCGTGAGAATATTATTGTGTTATTTTATTTTATCAATTTATTATTTTATTCTCATTCTACGTGACTTTACCGAAAGAACCAAAGAAGATGAATCATTGCAGTCACGAAAGCTTTAAATCGAAATTTTATATTTCTCTGATGTTCTTTTAGTCTCGTGCTGATCATTCGTCCTGTTTGCCCAACATAACATTTACGTGCAGTTAATCCTGTACACACCTGTTCTGTTTATGTGACAACCCTTACTAGTTGGCCGTGTCAGGTGGCGGCGGGTTTTAACGACACATTTATATATTCACGCAATGTAACCCAAACGAACTCTTTTATGGGTGATATTGGTCGTGAAAGCCTGCTACGTGTTAAACAGGCTAATAATACACCACAAAAGCCTTGGACCACTTCTAGCAGACAAGCTCTGCACACAGGGCAAGCCTGCCTGTTCAGGAAGCATCTACTTTGTGATAAATAAAAGGTGACAATTTATTTTTGATAGTGTTGTGGTACATAAGCATATATACCAAAATCACACATTCGCCAATAACACGGCCTTAAAAAAGTATATCATAGATATAATTTCAGGTAATGGCCCTTTTTCACAGCAGAGGCCAGTGCACTGTGTACCTTCATGGCCTCTACGTACGAACTTATTTCCACACCATACGTAGTCAACTGTGCTAAATTGGACAGCCTCTGATGGGCCATTTCCCAAAAAGTCACCTCTTATAAAGTTTCTATTCAAGGCAGCTGTTGACGGATGCGTCAAGTTGTTAATTGTATACGAAGTAAGAAGAAAGGCTGCGACAATGGTACAAAAAGGTCATCGCCTATTTGTTTTAAAGTGGGTCCTAGAGCCTCAGCTGACATGCAGATAAAATTATGTTCATTGTATAATATAAAACTGAATGACTTCATTGGACAAATTAATCATTTGGCGGGACCCCGGGGTCCTGCAAAAATCAGGTCAATAATTATTATTTTTTAGTCCGCCCACTCGTGATCCCGACAGCAACGCGCCGCCCGCCTTAGACTCGCGCCAACAAGCGCCAGCAGCAGGTGGCGATCAACACGACGGGCGCCACCCCACCGGCCAAACGCAAGCCCCGGGGGGCGTCCACCGCGGTTGCACGCGGCGACGACGCCCTCCTTTCAGCCGTCGATCCTCGGCTTCTTTGCCAAGGCGAGCCCGCCCCCCAGGCAGTGAATTTAACGTGTTTATGTAATTTTTCAACTTTTTATGAAACTTAGTGCCCCGAGTAGCTCTCGACGAGGCCAATCGATTGACCACTAGTTTTGTTGTCGGTAAGGCAACAAGACTCGTGTCGCTACGCGGTTTTTCCCACCCCGGGGCAGTGATGGGACCCCGGGGTCCCGCCAATTGCTTCAAATGCAGTGTTTGAAATTTACAATTGGAAGGTTGAGTTCAAGTCGTTGCCCTACATCAAACTTAGCCCTTCAATCCTCTGCAGCTGATGAACAGAGTACAAGTTTGTGGTGGTAAGGAAACAATTGATGTCCAGTACATGCACTCATGCTTACCATAGAAATACGACATTTACACAATTGGCTCGGAGATGCAAACAGATAATTAATTATCATGCTTGAGTGAGAAAGTTTTGCAAGACCTCTGGTTCCTTTCTCACACAGTCAATGGAAATTGGCCAAACCTCCCATACAAAAAAGGCATTCTTCACAGAGTCCTAGACATTCAGACATTTTCCTTTTTGTATATAAGAGATGGTGTTATATTTCATGGAGAGAACAGCTACATGGAGAGCAATGTACAAGGAAGCACTGCGGGCACCACACTATGCACACGGCGGCACCAATGCCCGGCACAGCCAAGAAAGAGCACTTCGACATCTTATTAGATATGCATCACAGCCCCAAGCAAACTACATGGGTTGCAGGCAATTATTTTACAAGTTTCCTCGTCACTACTTTTTGAACACACAGGTAACATAGGATACTAAAAAGTGCTTCAGACATTTCACCATAAATCCGTGCATTAAGAATAATCTGAAAAAATAAGTAATAATATATTTAGGCATTGTAATCTATTGATATTACGACCGAGAGCCGTTTTCTTTTTACACAGAAAAGCTATTTTGCGCATGAATTGTTCAGAACACCACCAATAACAAGTATTGGGTACAAGCCCCACGAGAAGTGGGAGAACTACTCACGCGTTTCCTCCAGGGTCAGCTTCTCCAGCATGATTTCTGACCTGTCAGCCAAGCGATGCTCCTGCCACAGACAGAGTACCAGCCACCTCGTGTAAATGGACTCTCGCCATGCATGCAGGGTGCCGATGCAATGCTCGATACAAAACCGCAACCCTTCTTCCGAGGACACAGCAAAGCACTATTAACAGCATATGACATGGCCCCGAAGGTACGTGCCACACGCACAAAATACACACGACACGCAGAACTGGGGGGGTGGGTCGCACCAAGAAAACAAGTGGAAGGCACACACAGCAGCTCTCCCACGCAGAGCATCAACCAAAACCTGGCGCACGCCGCCCCAGGGGTGTACGGCGATACTCCGCTGCTCGACTCAACGGCGACAAAGGAAGCATCGCCGTGCAGCCCCATGGTTCGGAGTCCACACATGGCACCGCACCGCACCGCTGCTCAAGGGACATTCGACCAATCAGCGCAGCAGCAACGCTATAAATAGAGCGCGAGCCGCAATGCCGAGTGGCTCCACGGGGAGATAAATGGGTCTGTCCTCAAGCTCACAGAAGCATTCACATTCCTGAGAACGCCCCCCCCCCCCACCATCCTTACCGACACCCACTCTGAACCAACTCAAATAAATCCAGTAAACGATGGCCAGAAGGTACCAGAGTATGAGCAAGTACACGCAAGCATAAGGCAATTATATGTTGAAATGTACGTAATTTCTTATATAATGCTCATGCTAATACATATGCTTACTAAGCCTAAGAATAAGGGAGGCTTGGAAACTAAACTTTTTACAGTACACTCAGGACCTACAGAATCAGAGCAAGACTAGTTGTATCGCAGGGCCTTGGGGCATGGTTACAACATGGAAAATCCTAAATCCAGCTCTGGTTTTACATACGTCTTTGCTATTTTTTTTATGCTGATGATTACATTAGCAATGTTTTTAATACTAATTTAAGATAACTTTTATAATCCATTCATCATTTTCATTTGAAGTCTTGCCAGGTGGTGTCATGATTAGAAGTTTCAAATTCATATCTTGGTCGGGGATGGGCTCCGCCTATAATTTTTTCTGACCCGCCCCTACTGGACATCTGTTAAAAAGAGGTTAATAGCTCATCAGATTTCTCCAGTCTAAATAAAGATTCTGATTTTGATTCTCTGGGCAGACACGGAAAGTGAACATTTCGTATGTTGTTGTTCCCGGTCATCAAGAAACATGGAGCACTGTTCCGTTGCGCATTAGTTGACTGTTTTTTTATGGAAAATAAATCCGTTCAGAGATGGGAAATCTTAAGAACATTTCTTGGGATTAGGCTTTCAAAAAGCTGAAATCTGTCAGTCAGAATGCAGGTAAACAAGATCGAATTTTATCACAAATGTAGTGTAACATGGTCAAACATACAATGGTAAGTTAAATGTTTTAAAAAAAAGTGTGTTAACCACTTAAGTATATACGCTCATCAGTTTAAATTTTGTTATTGATCTGGACATCAAAAGTTGCTTCCACATACAAACCAAAATCAAGTCCATAGGGTCATCCGGTTCCTTCTCAAAGCAAAGTGGCGGTGTGCCGAAGCAGGGACCATTATTACATTTTGAGGGTAACCAAATACATTCGACAGTTCTTAAAGGCGTGTCAGTGTATACCATCCATTTCCTGATGTACCACAACATACAAGGACCCTCGGGCCTCAAGATCATCCATTTGGCCTTCCACCATAAGCTACGATCAGACTAAAAAGCCCTTTAATGAAAATAGCTCTATTGAAGTGTGTGTGTATACATATATAACACATTGGCAGTCTATTAAATGCTAGTGTTGTTATATTTAATTACACGATGGTTGTATGTTTGTAGACATACTTTGTTATTTCTTGAGTGAGATGAAAACTAGTAAAGCATGTACTTTCCTCTATTGTTTATAAATAGGGCAAAGAAACGTGAAATTGATGAAAGCTAGCATACTACCGCGTTTGTTATCCTAAACATAACAGAGACATCAGTGTGAAGTTCATTCACTTTAGTGACCTAATCTATATCATGAACATCCCTTGCAAAAGTAAATATTTATCTACTTGTACAATTCATATAAAAAAAGCACCAGGAAAAGTATGTCCATTTATTCCCTTATCACTATTTATATCAGTATTATTCAATTATAATAATTTGTTCTTTTGGGATAAATATGAATTTACACCCCTTTGTTAAGTCAATGCTCAAATGACGTGTTGGTCACGGGGGTTTGACCATACTTCACCGTGTTGGCACATGGTTTTAAAGGGGAGGGAGGAGTGGAGGTGAGGAGCCTCGACTGGTTCTAATATCAGGAACTGAACGCCAGCCACATCACGATCATGCGCTAACCGCTGTACCACCACTCTGCGGACTTGTTTTTATGACGATTACTCGACATTAACTTTAGAATGACGATAACTACCATAACAGATTTGTCCAGAAAGATTTTCCAATGGACACTTCTGCGACACAGGAAGCATCTCCTGCTGACATCACAAGTGGGAACACGACTACGCACACATGACTGCTCTGTATGCACGTATACACACCAACTGCCCCTGTGCGCCCCCGGCCTGCACAAACGTTCCCGACGCGCGTGCTCTACACGTCTCCCATGCGCGTACATGCCAAAAGGCGTTTTTATCATTAAACGGGTCGGCACGGGTCCAACGCAAGTGTACAATCACAACCAACCAATGTGTAGGCGCGTGGGCGCTGGCTGGGCTCAGGAGGCGACGAGTACGCGCGGCGGCGGAACTCCGGCCGGTTCGGCTCGTGGTCGTACGCCTCCAGCGGGAACCCGACACGTGGAGGGCGGGAAGAGGATGCCGCAGCAGACGAGGTCGCACTCTGTCCATGCCCTGTCACGCGTATGACAAGAGAGCACAGCAACCATGGCAACCATGGTCTACCTGGCCTAGACTCCAAGCACCATTAGTAAGCACCAGTGTCCATCAACTCAGCGTACGAAGTGGAAATGCCATCATTTGCCATGGCAGTGTTGCCCTCACTTTTCACATCAAGTAGCGATTTAAGTGCACTTAGGACAAAACTAATTTACATTTCAGAATGAATTTGGAGAAAGCTGGGTTTTCAGTGGTGGAACAGGCTAGCAGCAGGGGAGATGGCTTTTGAGTGCATGTATCCGCTGATAGGCAAGTCACACCTCCACCAATCGAGGGAGGAGCAGCATCGTATAATCCAGTAGTTCCACAAACGTTTCTGGGCCCATGCACCACCAACCAAACTTTCCACGAATCACCATGCAGTGAAGAACATACGTGTTGTCCAAAAATAAATATTGTATTCAGTTCCACAGACCACTTCCCATTGCCTGAGAATGCACCACTGGCCTGCACACAAGTGATTGGGAAGAAGTAAAAAGAGTGCTGGCCGAGAGGGGGCACACATTGCTTGGCACTGCTCCTCTATGGAGCCAGCACCATTGGAGAGTGTTGAAATTGAGTTGATGCATCTGTTTGCACACTTATTTGATAAAAATGAGAAAGCAAAGCGGAGGGCAGAGGAGCAACTCTCGCAACAACGAGCAGAGCGCCGGGCAGCTAAAACACACAAAGTTGGCACAGTAGGGGGCACAGGTGGTGCATCTGCCGGTAATCTCAGTTAGTCAACCCATGGTACGGTACCTGGGTCTGTTCCATGACCTCCTGCCAGCAAGCGTTCGACACTTCACGGGGCCTTAAAGTGCACATAGCCGGCACAAGCGCCGCGGTGACGTTACCGCCACTTAGTGGCAAATGGCGGTTCTTGTAGTATATTTCATAGACTTATCTATTTATGGATGTATTCTTTTTCTGCATGCATGGTACTTTTAATTTCAGAATCCTTGTCGAGGAGTTTTGGTGAATGCTTGTTAGATTGCCTGGCCGTCTATAGATGAAATCACTAAGAGAAAACAGAACTTCATAATAACATTTCGTTTACATTGGATTGTCTTCACAAGAGTTAGTGATCTCTATTTACAGACAAATGGACCGAGCCAATGCATGAACACTCTTTAATCTTAGATGAAAAGCATTAAAAGAAGTTGTACCCTGCAAAATCAGATATTGGCTGTACTACTACTCAATACATGCAAGTAAGGAGTCACGAGACTGGTAGGGTGGAGGAAAAGGCAAAACTTTGGTTCTTACGGTAAAGTCACGTAGAAAGAAAATAATTTAAATAATAGAATACGACGTTTCGATTGCAACACAAGCAGTCGTCATCAGGTAGAACTAAATTTGAGAGAGACAAAATAGACACGGAGACACACAGACAGACACACACACACAAGCACAGAGACACAGAGATACAGAGTGTCTGTGTTTTGTCTCTCTCTCAAATTTAGTTCTACCTGATGACGACTGCTTGTGTTGCAATCGAAACGCCGTATTCTGTTATTTAATTTATTTCCTTTCCACGCGACGTTACCGAAAGAACCAAAGAGTAATTCCTGCAGGTCACAAAAGCTTCAAATGAAGTTTGAAAGAGGCAAAATCCAAGCATTATGTTTTGCACAAAGCGTTTGTTTTGAGAAACGCGAGGCATGCCAATGTGCGGCGGCTACATATGACCATGCGAGCGCACGGGCACAGCCGTGCACGCTTGACCCTTAACACATGCAAGATTACAGTAATCCCCCCCATCATGGAGCGCAGGATTAAAAACGGCACACGCACCAAGACTAAACCCACCTTTCTTGCTGCGGTTCAACAGCCGTGCTCCCAAAGGGGACGTGGAGAACGGCTGCTGCGCCTGGCTGCAATCCTTGTGTTGGGGCTCCTTCGCGGCCACCCTCTCCCTGTGGTGATGGCCTGGGCGAACGAGGCCGGCGAAGTTGGGCCTGTGCTGCCGTGGGGAGGAAGGCCTCGCGACTCCCTCTGCGCCATGGGGACTCAGTGGGGAGGTGGGCGACTTGGGTTGCGCGCTCGAGTCTCTATCGTTACTCACCGTGCGCTCCACTCTTCTGCGGCCCATGTCCTGGAAAACGAAGGGGGGGGGGGGGGGAACTTCAGTGGTGATAATATATATTAAAAAAAAAAAACTTTTTTTAAAACGCGCTTTTATTAAATGTACTCAAAAGGTACAAATATTTTTTCTGTTCAAGTACTTTGCATTATGTGTTTAATATACTGTTGTTGTAACCGACTAAAAATAAAAGCGTGGGGTGCTCGTACTATTTTTTTTAGGAAATATGTCTGGATTGACAATGGAAAGTGTTCATATATTGTTAATATGGTGTAATTTTTACGTTAAGTTTTGAAGCCGTTTATTTTTTGGGAATGTCTGCATTGAGAATGCAAAGTAACTGTTCATATGTTGTGAATATCTTATAATTTTAACGTAAAGTTTTGAAGCCGTTTATTTTTGTGAATGTCTGGATTGACAATCGAAAGTAACTGCTCATATGTTGTTCATATGTTATAATTGTAACCTAAAGTTTTAAAGGCGTTAATATGAGCGCCCCACGCTTTTATTTTAAGTCAGTTACAACAACAGTATATTAAACATATATAATACAAAGTACTTGAACATACATTTATATTTTTTTACTTTTTAGTACATTTCATAATAGCGTGTTTAGAATATATTTTATATATATATTATTTTGTACTTTTTAGTGTCATCAAATATTGTAACCAAATTTTATTTTAGCTTCTTTTGCAGAACCTATCTGGTCACAAACGATAGCTCAACAAAGTAGCACATTGCATAGAGATTCATAGCAGCCATCCAGCAGTAGATCGATTGTCACATCATAAACATGAATGTACTGTAGTAATGGAAGAACTCCACGACTCCAGGAAGTGGCCCCGAAGCTTGCCACAACGTAAGGGACCGTGGGCAATTACAGCCAACGTTAGTTGACCGTGGACAATGAGACCCAAGCGGAAATATAACATAAAGAATGTAAAAAAATATTTTTTTTATTTTTTATGATATAATATAGTATTGTCATAAGTATGACATAAGTATACCAAGTTTGCAGTCGATACCACATTGGGAAGCGGGTTAAAATCGAGTTACAAGATTTGAGGACACAACAACGACACAGTGCTAGCTAAATAAAAGCGTGTAAAAAAAGGGACGCATGGAAAAAAAGGGAAACCTGGCGATAAAGCGCACAACCACATTGTGGAATACAAACGTTAAATAAATGCGATGATAGGGCGAACGGGAACACTTATCCAAGCCACAACAATTATCTTTTTATTACCATCAAATTTTAACTGCTGAAGTCGCAATGTTAGTCGTAGAAAGCAAAAGGAGGAGAATCCGTCTTTGAATTGGAAATAGCACGCATGGCTCAGGAGTCCTGAAAGATTCTGGGAGGGAGCCAAAAGAATGGCACAGGCCACGCAAACCGAGGCAATGTAAAATATAAACAAATGTAGGCACAAATATGACATTCCATATAAAGACAAGGTTGTAAAAAAAATATCATAACGGATGCAAGGTTCCAAGTCCATTTTATAGGCGTACCTCACACGGATCATGAAATTCCAACCAGCATAGAATTAGAGCTTCAAGAGTCTGCTATGTAAATCAACCAAAAATACTTGTTCAATAAAATACAATTTAAAGACATTGCAATGCCGATTTTATAGTTGGCAAGGTACAATATTTAACAAGCCTCAAAGTTGTATTTCTTACATCTATGCTCTTTCCCCTTTTGCGTTACTCACTCACCCCGTGCCCAGTCACTCACCCCGTGCCCAGTCACTCACCCCGTGCCCAGTCACTCACCCCGTGCCCAGTCACTCACCCCGTGCCCAGTCACTCACCCCGTGCCCAGTCACTCACCCCGTGCCCAGTCACTCACCCCGTGCCCAGTCACTCACCCCGTGCCCAGTCACTCACCCCGTGCCCAGTCACTCACCCCGTGCCCAGTCACTCACCCCGTACCCAGTCACTCACCCCGTGCCCAGTCACTCACCCCGTGCCCAGTCACTCACCCCGTGCCCAGTCACTCACCCCGTGCCCAGTCACTCACCCCGTGCCCAGTCACTCACCCCGTGCCCAGTCACTCACCCTGTGCCCAGTCACTCACCCCGTGCGCAGTCACGCTTTCGTTCCAGTTCCCTTCTTGCTCCCCTTCACCAGAACCAACTCCCACTGCATATAAAACAATCTTCACTAACCTGCTTCCATTCCCCCCCTTAAAACCCATCTCTTCTCCCTTCCCTATCCTACTGGACTCCCTGCACAGACCCCCCCCAGGTACAACCTGCCCTATCGTTACCCCCCCCCCTCCTTAACCACTTCCACCTGTCCTCCTTACTCTCACCATAACTACACCACCACTTTTAATAACCACTCTTATCCACTGTTATCTAATGTACAATTTTATTATTATTGTATACCACCTTGTACTAAGCAGCTATTTACATCTATCA